GTCCCCGCGGCGTCCGAGGAAAGCATGGCTAAGAATAAGGGGTCGCTACAGATCAAAGGACCACTGAACACTTGCCTATTTGGCTTCTCAAGCAAGAAGACGGAGTAGCAAGATCTTCGATCACTAAACATCTGTTAGACAGTGTTCATCCTGTCGACCTCAAAGCAGCTTTCCAAGTACTTGTTCGGGCACGTACAAATCGGACCCTGTGCTAATTGGAAGCGGCCTACATACAACAGGAGAAAGGCGGCTTGTGCACGCAGCTAGACCACCTGGTCAATCTCTAATTACCTTGGTAATTGGGCAGCTAGTTTTAATCAGGACTTGGTTTGCGCCAACCTCCCCTCCCCCCTTTTTCTCTCTATAGGCTGATTTAATGTAGTTTCCTTCAGTTGATCATTATTTACACTGAACTATGACCCCTGCTGTTATACCTTGACATTCTGTGAAATTTAATCTGCTGTATGCTTCTATCCGTCATTTGAATCATGCAACGACGGGATGCAGTTGAAAAGCCGTTGCAACATCTATTAAATTCAATAAATCCTGTTGTCTACGTTTGTTTTAGATTCTGCTTTAGCTTATCCCACAATCAGCTTCTCCGTCCGTGAGTTACGAAGCAATTTCAATCATACCAACAGTCCAAACCCCGATTATGCGAAGTATCTCTCTGCGTTAAGTCAGAGAACGTGGGACAAGCCCAGATATTTGGTCAATGCAGAAAACTTAGATTTTGTGCCCACTAATTGCAGAGATCAATCCATTCTAGATACACTGCTTGTATATAAGTCAGTGGGAAGTACAACAGGTTTACGCGCAAAAGGACGACCAAAAGTTGCCAAAGTCCCCATTTCTATTTTTTCAGGAATTTCAAGAAACCTGCATTTTGACAATTGGGTTTTTCCGCAATATGTTAAACGATAATACAGATTACGAAAATCTACAGATATAAGTCAGCAAAATTTCTAATAACAATAGAATAAAAATACATATAGCAGTTATCAAAGTATATTTCACTGCCTATCCTAATTCCCCACCCATTAAGCCCCTGTAGCCAGGGAAAAATGCTGGGACTAGGTGCACTACTTAAATTGCTGTTGTCGTTACTATTATGTTAGTGTTAATTTTCATTATTTTCTCTCTATATTATGCTTTCCTTCTTCACCTTCAGTCATATTGCGCCTTTAATACTTTATCTGCCATAAATTCAGATTTTGATCCGATGCTATGCGAAAAACTAAATTATTTGTTACCTTATAAATAATAATGCACAAATCAAACTGTGAACTGTCGTTTCTTTATCGCAGTATAACTTACTTGGATGCTGTGTCGGTGGCCTGTACTTCTCGGGTGGTTTTGTTCGAAGTTCGTTACTTTGAGTGTGTTGGACCATAAAATGGACGTCACTTATCGCTTCGGATTTACCTATAAAATTAAGCGCATTCGCCAGTTTATTCGCCAGTTTATTCGCGACTTCTATTCCTGGCATTATTATATGTAGATGACTGAGATTTCCTGACTCGCTATGCCCTCTATTTTTCATCACATTTGCACGTCGACGTTCCGCGGTCTCTGTGATGTGATTTAAAGTTATTTGTTTAGAGATGCATATGAACACAGAATGAGTCATGTCTTTCGCGCAACCGCTGTCCGCCATATTCTGCATCTATAGAAGTACACATTACCAGAATTCTGCAGTCTACGCTTCCGAGCAATCGAAGTCACACAACCGGCAAAGGCTTTCTGGAATACTTGCTGCGCGACAGGGAACTGGGGTAGCAGTAGGTAAATTAGATTTCGATGTTATAACTTACCATACTAACAGCCCAGGTACTAGCTAAATGGCCCAATCACGAGTTTAACCGGTATTCTGCCGCTGCTTGACACAGCTGTGAGGGGTCCGGCTCATCAGAGGGCACCCCAGCCTTCCCTGTTTGCCTTCTGGTTGATATACGGATTTTTGAGAGTTAAGTTTTTTTAATTTCCCTAGAAATTAATTTCTGTTTGCAGTATACATCAAGAGTCGAAAGCTCAGACGAATAGAACTACCGTTCAAGAGATCGCGTCTTCTGCTTCTATACATCAGTATATTTAAGGTCTATAGATAAAGACCGAAATTTTAAGTGTATATTTAGGCCGAAACCAAAAGGCTGACAGGTTTCAGCCCAAATATATACTAACAATTTCCGTCTATGCTTATAGATTTTAAATATGCTTGTGTATACCTGAACCCCATCTCTCCGAAAGTTAGCAGAAGGCCACTTGTATTATGGAGGAGTGTTCCTATTCTCAGGTCTTACCTAAGTACTTTTTGTCCTCTCGAAAGGTCTCTACACCCGTAGATGAAATTAAAGATTTTGTTAAACGAGGTACTTGAGGGCATTCCTTTCTGCGATAATTCCGGCCTCATCAAATTTTAATGTGTGGAGGGGTCTCGTCGAATGAGCCACAACTTGAGAATTGGCATCATTTCGCCACATGGTTTCCTTCGATGTCACGTCCCCTATTACTTCTAGCCCTCAGGATCTGGCAGTCGAGACCATTGACCTACTTCTACGAAGCAAATGAGATGAGACGGAGAATCGCCATGAACATACTCAAATCCTACAGCTCTCGAAGTTCTGTCTCAGGACGTACTTCACGTTTGACGGAACAATCTACGAGCAGGGGAAGGGGAAACCAATGGGTTCACCGAGGTTGGAGTCGCTGGTCTTCCAACACCACAGACCAAAATTCTGTGGCGGTATGTGGATGACATCTTCGTCATCATCGAAAGGGATCAGGCGCTCACATTCAAGGAACGCCTCCACAGCGTACTCCCGGACATCCAATTTACGATGGAGGACGAGGAAGAGAACAACCAGCTGGTGAGGTGACAATCGTGTGAGCCGAGAAATACTTGCATCATGGTTCATGGGCCCCCAATCCATAAACAATTACAACGATTTTATAGGTTTAAAGGCTAAGACGGTTAACCCTAACACCTACAATCTTCCAGACCCTGGTTCCTACTAATCTGGCCTTCCAAAGACTTTTCTCTCATCTCCTAAGGAGCTGGACCTGGAAGATCGCAGCCATAGGGGTTAAATCTTCTTAGCCTTAACACTCCTCGATAGGAGAACTTAGTACCATAGTGTGTCTAAGGGCGACTAACAAAACTCGGGCGCTCAACTACCATCCCAGCCACCCAATGGCGCATAAATGAGGCTGTATTAGAGGGTAGTGGCCCTAGCAGCCACTTGGAACCCAAGATCTGACGGACAGCGCCTTTGCCCTGCGCGCTAATGCTGCCTGCGGCCAGATGCCAAGTCTCTGCACCCCCTGTCCTTTCTCGCTCAATGGTCTGAGCCACTTACGAACACACCCAGTCTCGCCTTGCC